TGGGCTTTAGGAAGATAAAGGTATATTCAAAATCATATTGAAAATTAACTTCAAAACATTTTTATGTCTCTACCTGTCTATTATTGTCAACGTCACTTTGTAAAGTTGTTGGGATTTTGTCTATTGATGGTTACTCACCAGTCCATAATATGTATTTTTGATTTTCTCTACATGATTCTGGTTCACTGGCAACCTTTTACAGGTATATACAATTCCCATATTACAAGTGAGTATTTTTTAACCTAAAATAATTTTAATATACAAATTACACATAAGCCTAATCTTTTATGGAATAGCTGAGATTGATTTCTTGGTATATTTCTGTCTGGTTTATGTTAAGTGTTTTCTACTGTTCACCATTGGTTTTTTGTTTGTCCAGTGATGAAACAACTGTAAGAGTTATAAAGCACTTTCTGCAAACTCAGCATTTAAGCTAGCGAATAATTGTAATCAATATTAGCACATTCAAGTCATAAAATAAACTTAAGATTTTACAGTAGGTGAGAAGTCAACCTGCGGTATCCAAAGTCAATGATAATACAGCCCATGATCATTTGGTGTGCAATCAGCTGAGCTTGGTCAGCAACAAAAAAATTAAGTTTGTTTTGTGTTTCTAAACGGAGTTGGAATTGTTAACAGTTTTTTTGTAAATGAGCAGGCCAAACCAAGGCCCCACTAGAAAAAACAGGCCATGCTGCAGCGCGGGCAGCGCAACACTACGTCACAGAGTGGTGGATAGTTGTACTAAACTCTTACCATTAAAATCTTACAAACAGCCAGCTTGTTTATTTACCTAGGACGTATGAGAATTGTGATGGCAATGAATTTATCAATGAAATCTATCCACTAGTGTGACGTCATGGATCCTGCAGCATGGCCTGTTTTTCTAGTGGGGCCTTGGCCAAACCCTCTTTATTTTCTATGTCAACATTAATTCCTATATGTTATCATTAATTAATAGCCCATTGACAAATACGGCATATGGGTCTTGACATTCTAGATTTCATCTTCTCAGGATCAAACCAAGCAACCTTCAGATTGAAGGCCAGCACTCTAACCACTTGGCTACTCGCAGATATATTTAATTTATTGGTATATATATTACGTTCACTCAAAAATAACTACGGTAATTATTTACCTGAGGCAGAGGCCTCCGCTCTCTGATGTGGATTCCTCCAATCTCCACCACGTTGGGAGGGAAGGGTCGAGACAGACTGAGGATATGGAAGCTGTTTATAAGGTACAATGAAGTATTTGCCACAACATCCCCTAGTGGAGGTAGCTTCATCCCTAGACTCTCCTCAGCCCAAACCTGGCTCTCCCTGGCGTAGACGAAGGAGTGCATTAACTTGGCGTAACTCAGGGTCAAAGTGTTGCGAATCCTCTCCCCGAATGACATCTGGGGGCTGAAGTTGACCAAATAATTAGGAATGTACGAAGGATTATCCGGCAATCCGAACCTATCCGCAGCCCAGGGCATGGCGATTGACGTTGTTATAGAAACCATTGGAATATCCAACAAACGTGCAAAATAAGCGTAACAGTCAGTCCCAAATATTTCAGTGATCAATAAATCATACTGTCCTTTCGCTTTTAGAAGCCCTTGAAACTCGGGAAGTTTCAAAACTTTTCTGCAGGTTGTTTCGTGAACGTCGTAGAAGAAATAGGTCGACGCCCAAGGGTCAGGGAGTCGCTCTTTGATCATATCAACGGAAAACTGACTCGTCAGTGGTGGAAGGATCTGGGAGAAATCTACATCAGTGTAGTTGGTGATTGGTTTCTTCTGCGGGAAGGGGGAGAAGACGGTGAGTTGATGACCGCGAGAGGCGAGCTCTTGGAACAATGGTTCCATTACTATCCAGTGGCTTCTCATTGGCATTGGTACAAGGGCAAGGATCCTGGCTGTCTCTCCTACACTCATCAGCATGAAGGGAAGCAGCAACAGTAGATTCAACATCTTGAAAAAAAAAACCAATTCAAGAAGGTTAAACAAACCCATCGTGTTTTTCCAAATAAAAATAAGATTATAGAATATAAAATTTGTTATAATCCATATTTTCTAGCCCCTGAGCTGGTTCTATAACTAAATTGAAATTTTACCTTTGTCATCCAGCTCCTGATTTATTCAACTTGTTACGGCCGTTTCAGCATCACTGTGCCATCGTCGGACTGTTCAGCCAAAAGGCGTCGTTAAAACACAAAAACATATACACGAAACACACACATATTTGTCAATTGCAGTCCGACGATGGCACAGTGATGCTGAAACGGCCGTAACAAGTTGAATAAATCAGGAGCTGGATGACAAAGGTAAAATTTCAATTTAGTTATAAAATTTGTCCTTAAAAAAGTTACTTCTGGTGATTGTGGATGAAATTAATTATATATTGCTGTTTATTTCAGGTTATATTGAAGTAATGTTTTCCAAAAATCTTCCTCTATATCAGAGGCTAAAATCTGAAAACTACCAACCCTTACTGACCCAATGTCAGTGGCGGATCTGGAACAGCCACAAGGGGGAGGGGGCGAACCAGGGGGCTCGGGGAAAAATCCTGTGTAAATTTGTGTAAACTAAGTCTCCAAAATTGTAGTTTTATGCCATCTCTTTGTCCAAATTTAGTGTAACAAAATAATGATCTTACACAATTTGTACGCACTACTGTATTACATGCAGTAAAATATATATGATATAATTATTTATTTTATTTTTAGACTACATACTGTAGTGTAGGTCTGAAGTGTCTGGTTTGAAATTATGTGTCTGTCTCTAATGAATTTATACAAATGCATCCATAACTTTTTATACACTTAAGAGATTGACTTGAAACCTAAAATATGAGTGGTGACAGATATAGGACTGTATCTACACAAAGCACGAGATTTATAGATTGTACTAATTTTAAATGGCAACTAACAGTAACTGTTGAGTTTTAATTTAAAACTAATAAAAATAAGTATCCTCTTTTAGCAGGATCTATATTAATAGACATTAATATTAAAATAAGCAAAATTACTATAACAATAGAAAATTGTATCTAGAAATTTTTTTATCTTACCATCAGTTACTTGATAGGCCTTACACTACTGGCTCTAAATGAAGATTTTGTGGTTATATGCACAACAAGGTCCATTGTAGATAAAATAAATGTAAGGTTAAACAAACCAGTGACCTCTATAAAATAATAATGTTTTATGAGCTAAAAAACTTCAAACAAATTTATATTGGTCCTAAGTATTTAAATGAATGATTTCAAACTTCACAGTAAGCCTCAAATTAAACAGACCATCCCTACCTTGATTACCTCTGTATGCTAATATTAATAAGAGGCACACAATATAAAATCTTGAGATGGATAACTCAGTCATTACTCATTAGTATTATTTTGGTTATGTGTTATATAAAATTAGAAACACTTCATTTAAGTCATTGGGATTAACAGTAAAAATTCATGTAGCTTATTATATAAAATACTATTAAACACATACCTTAATATCGGCTCCTTACTATAAAACTGTTTACACTATGATATCTACAATGTGCAAATCATTCAGAGACAAGTGGAAGGCCTAAAATCACTGAGCTATTGTCTGTTCAACAACAAAAACTCTCAACCCTGATAACATTATCTATTGGCACGGATCACATAAGTACATTAAAGACTGATTTACCGTCCCCTGTCCCTTCTAAATATAAATATTTCTTCCAAATACTGGTATTTATGGTTTTAACAATATCATTTGGAACAATTGTTTAGTTTTAGCGTGATCCTTTGCGTTGACGGTACTTGTACCAAGAAATCAAAACCAACCCAAATCCTGTCACACTCTTATCTTTATCTTTATCTCTCTTATCTTTATCTTTATCTCTCTCACGGTGACGTTCAAAAGGTCAGCTGATCCGTTTTAACGTTCGAAGGCTTAACTGATTGACGTAAATTTATCAAATTTTTTATTCAGAGTACGTACTAAATACTTTTTCAATGAAATGGCAACCATACAAAGTAGGTATTTTAAGCCAAGTATGAATGGAGATGAGTATAGGATGAGTGGCGCGATCTTGTAGTCTTGTTAGTGACTAAGGCCGACTTATTCCTTAGACACAACACTTTGCTATAGAACCCATTTTGAGGGAGGGAACCACGGGCGGTAAAAAAAATCTTGGGTACTGTAATACTACCGCGGTGCATAATTTGTCTGAGCATAGTATTCGTAAACACAGCGTTAAAACAACTTGTTACTTTCGCAGGACAACATTTCACGAGACAACTGAAACATTTTTCTCTGAATTAAAATGAAGGACATTTAAAAACGGAGCGTGATTTTGAACATGTATTTCGTTCGCAATTCACGAATAACGGATTGGACCGATACAAAGTTGTCTGAGTGCTGCTTTTTAAAAATCCATCTGAAAACTCCATCGGTTTAATATTTTCCATTCTATTCTTTAGAGAACCATTTTTGTTTTTCTAACTAGTAGTTAAAATATAGAAAAAGTTGCTTTGGAACAATCGGTGACTGTAATAGCCTAATAACCATTTCAGTAGGATTTTTACATTCTTCTACTATTGGTTTGTTGGAAATAATTGGTTAAGTAAGTTAATTCATTATATATTATTATGATAAGTATAAATAATTATATTTATACTTTAATTACTATGTAGGAAATGTATAAAATGTTTTAATCGTTGTAATAGTAGCTGTGTGGCCACTCGTATACACCTTTATAGACTGTTCACATTCCATTGTTGAAACAACTACCAGTAGGCCTATATATCGAGAGTTCAATTATTTAGACAAAACTCCAATACAAAACTAGACCCAAAAATAAACATCTGAGGGCGCAACATTCCCTAAAACGAGTTTTGAGCTGTAAAACCTAAAAGCAGTCCAACCAAGACCAGGTAATGTAATATCTGTGAAGCCGGATCAGACCGGGTAGCGCCAGGATCTTACATAACCACTGTCCAGGACATTCAGTACAGTAGGCGTGTGCCGTGTCATTGTGCATCTTAGAACCTGAGGACTCCAGTCCCAGTAGTGACTGTACTGTGTTTGTGCATTTATTCCTCAGCTCCCCCTATGGCGGCTGCCGCAAGATGTCTACTGTCCACCGCCTCCAGGACCTTGAGCCTGGACGGGATGTTCATCCCCCTAACCACCCCCTTCTCTGTGACGTCAAGGGACATTGACTACGAGAAACTCAATTTCAACCTGTACAAGTATAAGGATGTCCCTTTTGCAGGTATGTTTGGAGACTGGCTCACATTGATAAAAAATAAATATAAAAATAGTGTAGTTTTTATTTTGTTTTATTTGTTAATGTTTTCTAATTTATTGTTTTTTTTCAGACATTTTATGAGCAACAGACATATTGTATTACCCTTTACCATAGGCCTACTTATTGAATAAATATGCACATACAATAATATTACATTATCGTTGTATAAAACTTAAATAGTTTTTGGTACTTAAATAATATTTTTATTTGACAAATGATTAATTTGTTATGGTAGTTATAACCAATGAAATTTTAAAGAGACCTAAAGAAAGTGTTATTTAATATAGGGTCCTCGAAAAATAATTCAATTAATAAAACTGACATTGTCTAAGCAAGGTTTTTTGTTATGCAATCCAGCATCATCTATGCAGCCAGTAGAATACACAATGAAGGCGGCTGTCTGTGTGTGTGTGTTCACTTTACATGCTTTTCAGTTTAAAACGTTTATAGTGTTACTTTAACCGGTAGTATTCTATGTTTACATTTAAATTTTATCAATTGAATTGCAAAGCTTTCCTATCTACACTATTATAAAATTGAGGTGATATCTGTCTGTCTGTCTGGGCAGCTGTCACGACTAAAATACTAAACCAATACAGCCAAAATTAAGCACAAAGATGGTCCACATATCTAGGGATGTCATAGACCAATTTACTTCCCTGAGTTCCCCTCGGGCTACGCCCCTTGTATGTCAAAAGTTTTGATGTCAGGTTTTCAAAAGTAAATAATTGGTACCTATCCATGGAAGCATGGGGAAATTCACAATGTTTACCTTTGCGTTGGCATTTTAATATAAACAACCAGAAATGCCAAATGCTCATTTCACAATTTCAGCCATCTACCGGGGATTATTTTTATTAGGTTCTTGTATACACGTTTTTTCTCACTATTTTGGCATTTTTTATAAGAAGGGAGAAATTCAGCTAGGTATTAATCAAATATTCGGGGCATTTACTTGGCATATTATTTATTATTAAAATCAACTTTATTATTTATTAAAATAAAAAAATTACATTATTTTTAGGTTTCTACAACAATACAATACACACACTGTAGAAGTGTCAATAAGTGTTATAACGGAGTTCAAATTAAAGTGCACACTGGCAGTTTTGGTTCTACTTGAGTTTATGTTAGGTTGTTTTTTAGATTTCCTATGATTGTTGATTTAATGACGTACCGTATTAAACAATTTAATTCCTTATTTTTGCTATCTACCACATTGCCATGCACACTATGGTACAAGAAACAGAAACTGCAATACATAAAATCTGAATATTTCTTTCACTATCATCTACACAGCATTTCCAAACAAAATAGGTCTGAGCATTGACTATAGTCAATGGTTTGAGTTGGAAGGAAGGACTAATAGTGATGTCTTCAGATTCAACGTTGAAAATGCTGCCAGTGACAGTAACAGTAAAATATTTAATTTTTTTGTATATTGATTTATTTTAGCCAGAGTGGAGTCTTTTCTGTTTAGATAAGCCTGTGTCTTAACAAAAATGCTTATACACTAGGCCCTTATGCTCTAGGGCATAAGGGTAGATTATATATATATATATGCGTTGATTATATCACATCCTTAAATAATTGTTGTGACTATTAATAGAACCGGAATTGTTGAAGTTGTGGCCTTTTAGAGTAAAATGAACGTTGTTGAATTCAGCCTCTGAGTGTGCTGATGAGAATAATTGATTTCTGTTGAACACACCGCTTCTTAAACAAGAAAAACTTAATATTCAACCATGATCTATTTAAAAATAAGAAATCGGCTACAGCTAGTCCATTTTGGGACGTGTCTACTTCAGCTTCCAAAGACAACAATATAAAGAAATTCAACCGAAACATATTCCTACAATAGTTGTATAATTTAAACAAAATCAAACAGCTGATTGTCAATCTCCGACATGTCTGTGCAGGTTACGTGGTGGCAGGCTCAAATGGAGAGGCTCCTTACCTCCGGCCTGAAGAGAGAGTTGAGATTGTGAAGCGAGTGAGACAAACCGTGGACCGGACAAGGTCTGTCATCGGAGGAGCTACTCATGAATGTAAGGGGGAAACAACCACAAGTAGCCAAGGGTGGTTGTCTTACAAGACTAGTTGCACAAGTCTTGTTTTTTTGTCACAAATTATATAACTGAAAAACTATTGCGGGGTCTTTCTAGCATATTTAGTACCAAACGATATCCCCTCACTTCACAAAGGGAAGTGATGCAAAAAAGAATAATGTGTTTCTTTAGATCTGCTGGATGATAAAGTTACACACCTACCATGGATTTCAGCAACAAACCCCAATTTTACCCCATTGTGATTATAATTGTCACTTAGCACTGAACTACGATTAGAAATTACTAATGTCACTATTTATTTTAATTAGGTTGACAGTAACAATTTTACCATAAGCTGTAACATTAATGGACCATATTGCGCTCTAAGGACGGGAAATAGGTGTTTTTGATGGGAGCATGATAGCTCCTGCGTGAAGCTTGCCAAGCAAGGTATTTCACGTGAGGACCGTTAACACCTTCCCTTGTACGACATGTTTTGTCACACTACCACCAACAAATATAGGGGTTAAAAAAGACAACCCATAAATTCAATGACAGCACTGATTTTTTTAACTACATATATTATGCTTTTATTGCTTATTGCTTGTTTATGCTCTATTGCTTACTGTGTAGTGGGATAAAAATATATTACGAGACGGATCCATCTTATATTGTAGCTTTAAAGTAGAACTTTTAACCCTAAATTTCAAACAATTTGACAACTTAGTGAGGGCAAAAACTGATTTTTCAGCCACAAAAGGAGCTTGCGAACTGAGCAGAGCAATGGCCAACGTAGGAGCTGATGGGGTCCTTGTAATGCCTCCCTTTTACTTTAAGAAGAGAATGACTGTGAGTAATAACTTAAATATAGTTTCTCTAGAATTCTATGGGAAAAATAGGCTAGTGTTAATTATGAACTTACAGTAGCTTACTTAATCACAACTCCCTTAAATTATAGACAGTTTTTTCTCTTTGGGGTGATAAAGATGTACAAATTCAATACTAAATTTTCGGATTCAGTTAACATGATTTATAAAACTAATATCATGAGAAAGAGATATATATATATTTTACTTTTGATGTTTGTAGTTGGGATTTTGGTAAGTTTGAAAACGCATCATACCAGAAGGGCTGAGGGTTTAAATTTATGAAAATTAGTATAACCATCAGTGTGCAGAAGGTATGGATCATTGTGTGTTACTTTCAGAACGAGGCCATCTTGAACCACTACATGAAACTGGCCGATGAGTCACCCATCCCAATAGTGATCTACAACATGCCGTTTGTTACTGGGATAGACATTCCAATCAGTGTGTTGGCAAAACTGGCGCATCATCCTAACATCCGAGGCGTGAAGGATGGAGACGTAAGTCGATGTTAAAAATAGTCAACACAAACTATATGATTGCAAAAGAGTTACTTACATTTATAATTGTGTAACTGTTTAAAATACAAAGTACGGTAGTCCCTGTATCTCTTTCATTCAGATCTGTTTGGTTTGGATCCTTGCTTTATAAAGCACACTAGCAAACAAGTGCCACTTTTTAAAGACAATCACCTGTTGTTCAGTGTTGTTCTCTACAAACTTAAAAACTACGCTTGTTTAATCATTAATACACCACAGACATGTTTCAGGATTTAACTGGTGACCTTCTGATTAGAAGGAGAGCGCTACAACCACACAACTATCCCTCTTAGCTCTAACAACTAAAAAAATGAACATAAGCTGTAACAGTGACTTAGACAGCGTACTTGTAATTCTATAGAACATTATGCACCTTATGTCTAAAGCGCACATTATGTCCAGTAGGCATGATTATTAGTATCCTGCATAAAAAAGACCTTTAGTAGTAATCACTATGACAAAACATCTGTTCTGATGTATTAAATGCAAAACTAAAAGAAAACTTTTTTAGATAAAATAAGTCTATTTGTAATGAATTTGAACAAAAAAACACAATTGATTACGTGTCATAGGTACGTAAACTGGCTGGTATCGTCATGGCAACAAAAGGCATCGGTTTAGAGTTTGATGTTCTAGCAGGATCAGTTGGCTACCTACTTCCCGCTATCCAAGTTGGTAAGTTATTTCGTAGGTTAATGAAAACACTCCACCTTATGGTTTTTTATATTTATGGATCAGCTGAAAAAAATTTGACGCTGAGTAACATGTGTACATTTTGTACCGCTAACCCACTGGCGCTAAGTAGTTCCTTAAATCTAAGGCCCTTATTAGACGAGGCAGCCAAGTTGCGCAACCAGCCGGGCAGCCAGTCGGCCAGTTAGTCACTGGGCATTGGTTCTTATGGAGCTTATTACACGAGGGCAGCCAGTTGCACAGCCACTGTTTGGCTGCCGGCTGGTTGCCGAGCCCGGCGACCGCACAGGCAACCACTGGCTGCTCGGTCTGGTCGCGCCCCTGTGTAGCTTACGGATCTTATTACACTGGGCAGCCAGTCGCCCACTGCCACACATCAGTAGTAGTAGATCATCACTCGTGGAAGTGCGTTCATCTCTGTCGGTCACATCATTGTGTGTTGTTTTCCTAAGTATTCTTTTGGTGAACAATGTATTCTGATTGTAAAGTGAGAGTGAATGTTGTAGCAAACAACTAGAATAGTGAAGTGAGTGTGGTTGGAAGTTGTAATAAATCTAAAAAGAAGGAACAGGGAGGTGACTCTAAAACCTCTGCACCAAAAAAGCGTCTCTCCCCAACAGAACTGTTCCACCAACACTGTTCCACTGTTAACAAGAGACTGGCCTAGTTGGTAATTTTGTGGCTGCCCTGTGGCTGCTCTACTGGTTGCTCTACTGGTTGCTACGCTAGGCAGCCAGACAGGCGACTGGCTGCCCGGCTGGTAGCGCAACTTGGCTGCCTCGTCTAATAAGAGCCTAACCAATAAGCGCTAGTAAGGACATGCGCTTATATAGTGGTGCTCTTCTCGGTCAGGCGACAGCGGCATGTTAGTTCAGTTGGCTAATGAGTTGCTCTGACCAGTGTAGCATTGAGGATTTTCTAAACGTGTGGGTTCAAGCAACCCGTACGTGCACTCTTTTTTTTCTCAAAGTCTCAAATTTTAACTACATAAAATGACCCATTTGTAAATTATTGCTTCTTCGTTATTCAATCAAAGAGTTTTTCCAAAACATATGTCGAATTTCCAATCAAATAAGCAACATTTATTCCATCAACGGCTTACATGTTTTGATGTGAAATCGGCTTCAGATTTTACATTAGAGTAAGAAATATTTTCATTTAAATACTTTCAGTTACATTATTCTTAAGATAACTGTATGGTTACACATTTAGTGATGTCAATGTGCTTTTAGCTGATGTTCTTAAGGGCAGCTAATTATTTTTTACTAGAAGGATAGAATAAACAATTTGGGAACATATATATTGGAAACACAAGTTCTTCCAGCTTTATAACAAACAATTTGATTTAGTTTTACTAGTTCTTTTAGAAATTATGTTTTATTTTTGAAACAGGTTGTTCTGGTGGAATCAACGGCCTCGCCGGAGCGCTGGGTAAACAATGCTGTGACCTTTACACCCTCAGCAGAGAACGCAAATGGGAGGAAGCTCTCAAACTACACCTTCAACTAACAAGGATTGACACATTGGTAAATTTATAGCTAAATCTAAGTCCAAACAATTTATTGATAAAAGTATGTTTACCTTAAAAACAGTCCGAGCTATGAGAACAGGACGGTAGAATAATTTTGGTAAAAAAGGCGCCCTTTATTCGGTCTGTGGTTTAAATTGTCATCCCGAAATGCTGTTGACCAGTTTCATTGCAGATTGTAGGGCAACATTTTCAAAATTTGAGACACATAAAAAAAGACTACTTACAACAGGACACAAAACAGGAACAATTTTTAACACAAAATAAAGAAAAATAATAATCATAACAAATGTCCCCAACAGCAGTGGTATAGGTGGGGAGCAAGCTGGTCTAGTAGTAGTGTGCAGGGCTTCGGATCACAATGTCCCTGGGTCAAATCCCACCAATCACCAATGGATTTTATCCCTGAGATAATGCCGCGACCCTCTAGGAATAGCCTGAAGTAATGTGTAAAGCAGTTCCGGACTAGAACCTAGTGTTCTAGGATGTGAAGGTGGGACAAAAAAAAACTAAATAAAAACAGCAGCAGTAGATTAGCTTGCCAATGATGCCCTTGCAACAAAAATTTGGACTAAAGAAAAATATGACAAAATTTGTTTTAAGGTTATTTTTCTGATCACAATTAATTTACCTTAGCTGGGTTGCACCAAAGACCTGTATGAGGAAGAGGTGACATTCTAAAGCTGGGTTTTCCTAGGCGCGGAGTCGGCGAGCGGAGAGAGGAACGCGGAGAGCGGAATTTAAATTAACATGGCATTCCGCTCCGCTTCTAGGAAAACAGTAACATTAAATTGCCTAAGACAAGTGGAGTCCGCTCTCCGCGTTCCTCTCTCCGCCCGCCGACTCCGCGCCTAGGAAAACCCGGCTTAAGGCTACGGACACAGTTTACTCCTGCCCAATAAACCCATCTTAGTTTATCTGTTTGTTTACTTAGCTCGATTAATATTTAATTACTGACAGGAATGTGTTTGCTTTTATGTTCCAGCTCATGTCAGATCTAGGAGTCCCGGGACTGAAGGCAGCCATGGACATACTGGGACTGTACGGAGGACCTTGCAGGGAACCTATGCTGCCTTCCTCAGCGGAGGATATTGAACGAATCAAGTCTACACTTCAACAGGACAACCTCATATAAGCATCAGGCATGAACTGCTGCTCAAATGGATTAATATCACTCAGTGTGTTCAATCAAATTGTTAATTTCAAAACATTATCATTATATTTATTATTTTAAATCAATGTTTGCCTATATCATACAAAATGTATTATAGTTAAAAATAACTAGGCCTAAGCCCTGTTGCTTAGTGGGATGATACAGATTGTATCATATTTTTGGACCAATATTTTTTAAAGACTGACTATAAGTGTTTAAATTTTATACATTTATCCAAAGAAATAAATTTTATATTTATTTGGACTGTTCATTTATTTTCTACCAGAAAAATATTAAGATTTACTTCATTACTTATATTGTGTTAACTGTCATGATAGGTGAAATTCCTAATATTTTAATTCTGCATCATAGCCAAAACAAAACCTTATAGTTTATGGGATTAGTTTGGTAAATGTTTAGTGTCTCACTTTCCAGTGTAAAAGAACATGTTTATATGATGTATACAGTTTACAACACAGAAATGTAATTTCGGCTCCGAAGTCCTAGGTTCAAGTCCCTGATCACCAATGGCCTTTGCTATATTTCTGTGTCCATCTACGCCATTGACATTTTAAACCTCCAAACTCTGGTCTTGTTACTATCTAATGGTACCCCATTGTTAGATAACATCATTCACTTATGATATCCCAATAAGTAATCACATATAGGTCCAATAACGATCTTGCTTGGAATCAAATGAGTGACCTTCAGATTTGAAGGCGAGGACTACAAAACAGTTACCCATACAATCATATCCATTGTAGCTAAGTGATAATATCTTTCTACGTCTAGCTTAAGCAGCGTGTGAAACGGTTCCTAAAAAATAAAAATACTCTTGTTTGAACTAATAAAAAATTCTGGGAACAACACACATATACATATTGAACTTCAACACAATAATTTATTGGGTAACGTACGAAAATTTACTTACTAACACAACACAAATAAATAGCCTATGCTCTGTGGCAGTTCAGTTGTCCAGCTGTTGTTTGCTCTGGTGATACAGAGAGTCTGGGGTGGGTGCAGCGCCTGTCAGCTCCTGCTCTACGCCAGACAAGGCCCACTGATGGTCCAGGATCTCCAACGCCTCCCACTCCGCCTTGAATGCTGCCTTGGGGTCCAGCGGCATAGCCATGGCCGCCCCTGACATCTGCTCTTGTATGTGACGAGACTGGTCTGCGGCTAAAAAGACAAATGTATTTCAGTATTAGAGTATTTTATTTAGCCAGCATTTATCAAAAGCCCAACTATCAAAGACAGCTAAAGGCGGCTCCAGACATGCGCCATTCGCCAAGCACCGAGCAGCAACTCACTGAACGTGAGTATTGTGTATAGGTGTTTGTCTATACCAAGCAGCAAACAATGGTGCTCGTGTTTTCTTGTTCATTGTCGGTATCTTTGCACACATTGTGAACGAATAGTTGCTATTCCAGAAACAAACAGTTGCTCAGAAAACAACATATGTCTGTAGACTTCTATTCATTAATCGGCAAATAGCAAGACAATTAGATTGCCGAACGTAAAATATTTCGTGCTTGGCGATTGGCGCTGTCTCAAGCCGCCTCAAGTCTAGTCCCAAACTATTAAAAAAATTATGACATTTCTCAGGATCAAACTGGCAACCTTTTGATTGCCATGCGAGCACTATAACACCTCAGTTATCCAGCTATAATACTATTCAGTATTTATGTGTAAATACAAAGAGTGTTTGTTGTCAAATAGTAAAATGTTTAGTTTACCCACATTTTGAAAATATATCTATACCTGTGTACAAATGGTAATCAAGGTTAAAAATTCAATTGTACATTCAAATCATGGTGGAAGGAAAATGCATAGGTGTGCTATTCCCGTCATATGCTGACGTCACCCAGATTGCAAATAAAAAATCAGCTGATTGTATTGCCATATAAGTATATATTTGTTTTGATTTGACTGTTATTGTTTTTATAATTTTTCTAAATGGTAAAATGGTGTTTACAATCTGAGTAACGTCAGCATATGACGGTAATAGAATACCTATGTATTTTCCTTCCACCATGCATTCAAATCATATAAATGTAGTGTTTAATTAATTTTGACACTAATCGGTGACAATTTGTCATTGCATCAAATGCTATGTCATTTAAGGGATTATGCAGTCATTTTCCATCCTGATTAGTAATAAAAGTGTCCAAGACATTTCAAGATCTGGAATCTGATCCAGTCAGGAGAGGAGGTACCTAATATATAACCAGATTCGTTTACAAGCCAACTTCCTAGCTTTGGTTGGGTATTGTGTAGGCCTACTAATTTTGCTGTTGTGTTTGGCACTTTCCCATTTCAGGGTGGTAACAGATTGTGTATCCCAAAACATCGCAAACACTTTTTATTTTGTTTTTGTAAAGATTTGCTTCAAATTATATTGCATTGATGCAGAACCACCCCTATGCGAGAAATCTTATATCAATCAATTATATCAATTATTTAAGATCGGCACACCACTAGGTGTGTATTTTAACCCAAATATGAGTGAAGGATGAGTGTAGGATAAGTTTTCTTACTTTCAAGAGACAAATATACTTCCAATTGTAACCATTGAGTCCCTAGGTAAATTTTATGAAAAACACCACTTTTGCTCTCTTGACCAAAGTAACATTTTTATTACTATGAATTGATAACATTGTATCTTGTGCATTTATCTTGTGTACACATAATATTTATGGTTTGGTAAAATTTTGTGTTTTTAACTTACCATTGTTCTCGCCGAGTACTAAAGTGTAGATACTGCGTAAGCCGAACACATTGAGGAAGTACCACGAAGCAGACGACACCCAGGCTGCGTCAAGAGACTGCAGTTCCACCCCTCTCTGCAGCATGGGCTTGAACCGTAGAGTCAAAGGGAACGGAACTTTGGCTGCACACAAACAGGAATTGTATTAAGACAAGAAGGTGTCGCTGCAGGGTGTTTTACCACATTATATTTTTAAGTTGCAGTAGTGGTGTTTTATTGGTAGGCCTAGACTATATTTTAAATGTATTGGTGATCATGGCTTCAACACAGAAATAGTAAGTGGTTTCAATAGAAAAAAAAACTTTACATATGTTTTAGTTTAATAACAAAGAAGGAACCTTTATTTTATATTTTAGTTAAGTTAAGCTACAGTAAGTGGAGTTGTGTGATTGGAAGCTAATGATGCTTTAAATATCTTCAAAATATAATTCTTTAAAACATGAATATTTAGAGGATTCAATAGAAAACAAACTTCACTCCTTAAATTGGTTTGATGACCAAGAAACAAAACATGTGAATTAATACCATAAATAATTTGAATAGGCTTGCCACGCAAATTAATACTTGTTACAGCTAATTTAGGTTGGATAATCAAAACTCTGCTGTAATAAGTTCATTGGGTTTGTCACAAAGAACCATTGAAATAATAGACTATTGTATTATTGTAATAATTCTAAAAAACAAATTCCAAAACTATTATTGTTGATGGTGTAGGTATTATTACTTACTGGTGACGAACCCCGAGAACATCCAGTTAATCCAACCACCAATGAGGATCATAGGTAACACGTTGGTAACATTGCCCTTTAACATGTCCGTCATCATGCTGGGGTCAGTCATCGGATTCTGGGTAACAGCAGCTCGCTTCTGTGTCTTGAAATAACCTAATAGTTTATGAAAATTAGCAGTTTCTTGTTGATCAAAGTGGTCAGTCGCTTGCATATCACATAAGTTCCCCTATATGTTATTAAAGATACATTTTTCTATTGTCAGTATTATAAGAGATTGTAACGATTAATTTTACTATTTTACTTGTATTCAGTCATAATGATTGCTATTTATAACTGTTAATTAATTATGTTAAAATAACGTTATACTCTTGTTAGATCATTATAGCATAGACAAATAGAATAATATTATAGACTGTCAAAGGAAGGTTTCACGATGTGCAACTAGAGCGTGCTCAGGGTTCGATTCAGTGCAGTCGTCTGATTATAATAATAATAATACGTCTCAGACCTGTTTCCCTCCCTTACCATAGTATTTTAGGAATGCTAATACCTTAATTTAATTTTTCTAATCGTCATAAACAGTTCCCACACTCCGGACAGCTCGCCTTGACTACTTCCATCACCACTTCCTACGTCAACTAGAGGTATACGTAAACATTGCTCGTATTAGAGTATAGGATAGGTATGTCAATTTCAATTATATCTGATAGATTTAGTTATCATAGTCTCGTTTGTGGGCCTTAACAAATGTAATTTTTTTTTTATATTCAGGCTAACTTAAATGAAAAGAGAAGTAATTCCTGCCTTAAAATGGATTAGGATAAGTAAACAATACTGGTAGATGAATTAAAGGATGAGCATTAGAGTTAAATACAGCGGACTTCAAAAAAAAAAAAAAAAAAAAAATGTCACATGTGATTATTTTACCTGTTTCCTCATTATTGAAGTAGTGACGCCTCATCTGGAATGACTGTCTTGTTAGATATTTCCCATTCTCTCGTAGTAGACGAGCTCTGATCATTACTTGGCTGCAAATCAGTGACAATCATGTGATTCAAGGTCAGATGTGCTATTTAGAAGTAGGCTATACTAGATAACTGCTACTGAGCTCTTAAGCACCTAGACTATAGAGAGGTAAAGTTTAGGCCTATAGTAAAGGTTTACTCAATAGTCTGTGTCTTAAGTGTCACATTATGAAAGTAGGCTACTTGGAATTTGGATGTAATTTGTCTAACAAGATGTGCAGTTTCCAAATTCTGAGAATTTAGCTGTTGTATCATTGAAAGTGTGAAGTCATTTGTAAACCAGGCTTATACAGTAAAACCTCACTAGACAGTTTGAGGACCCAGAGGTTGTCGAGTTATTCACAGCATTAAAATGTTTAATGGGTTTTATTAATAAATTAATACATAACTTAACAGACTAATTATGATATGAAAATTTATTTATCCCCAACTCTACTAACAAAACCGAATACCCGAAAACGCCAAATAAAAAGGATCAATAAAAAGTCCTGCTTCCCCTGTCTAGATTGCGCAAGATTCCGTGCGACAGGTTAGCTAGTTACAAATTATTATACAAGACAGTTCACTTTTTAGTTATTCAATAAAAATAGTTTACCTCTTATGCAGTGTGTGAATTTAACAGTACAACCAGGCTACCAGTTCAGGTCACAACAAAAATGTATAACTTATATGAGTACCGGTATTTTTAAATATTTAGTAGGCCAAAGAGTTTTCAAAGAAATGTTGAATATTCAACAACTAAAACTAAATGTTCTGAAAAAATTACTTTGAAAGTCTTTAAACAAAATAGAAAGACAAAGCTAGACGTGCGTCCTGTCAGCTGTTGACTGTCGAGTTAGAGAGGTTTTACTAGGCCTATACAGTAGACCCATTTATCCTATGCTGTTCCAGTCTGGAATAAGTTAGGAATGAAGCGTGTTCATATAGCGTGTCCCCAAAGATGTATGCCGTATAAGATTTGGCAATGAAACATATCATGGTAGGTACACCAGAACAAGTTAGGAACCTGTAACACACTTCTTAAATCTCCTAAGTAGAAAAATGACACGAGCCCGCTTAGCGCAGACATGTTCCACATGATTGCTCCAGTCCAGTGTTGGGTCAAGGTAGAAACCTAATAAGTTAGTCTAACACTCACACCGATATTGTTTGGGGTGTGTGACAGAGTGCATATCATCCAGTTTGTCTTGGCCTCATTTAGCTGTTCGCAGTTTGTTTGCCCGGAACCAATGCTCCACATCTTTCAGATTATTTTTCGTTTGCTTTGCAGCAAGGATCGGTGTTTTTCCTCTGATATACAAGGTAGTATCGTGTAGACCTAGATATCTTTTAGTCAATGTAAATATTTCATTAGAACAGTTATTGCCGTAGCTAATGCATTTTTTGTTGATTAGGACTTATGACTTAGGCTGATAAAGACTTTGTAGCCTAACTTTAAAAAATGCTCATCAAGACTTAGGCCTAACTTTGATTACTGTAATGAACCTGGGCAACTTAATTGTAGGCACTAGCCTGAGCTTACCCTAATAGGTCTAGATTATTTGGACTAAAATATGCACCTAGGTGGTGTCCCCATCTCATTGGTAATTGGACATTTTCCCACTTAAGTTACTGGCTTGTAAGACGTTTAATAGACTGCCAGAGAACATTAAGAACCTGGAGCCGAAACTGTTCAAAAGAAGTTGTTAAAAGTTGTGGGGTTGCCAACAGAGCTTCTATTTCTTGGAGGATTATATGGATGTCAAGTTGATTTTTTAATTCCTTTATGCCGCCTGACGCTTAAGTTATAATACTAGGCTAGGCCAATTTCAACTATATTGCAAATTTGAGGTTAGGAAAATCATGTTATAAATTCTTACCTGTCTTGTAATTGTTGAAGCTCTACTTTCTTTTGGGACGCAAGTAATAGAGAAATATAATGTCGCACTATTCCTACGAGAAAAGTGATAACAACAATTGGCCAAAATACCCATAATCTAATGGCTGGATCTAGAAGTAATTCAGCCATTTTCTGTCTGTCTGTTTACTTACACACACACACACAGCGACAGCGAGCGACAGCACGCACACAGCATCACAGCCAAGCCAAAGGCACAGCCATTTTGAGTGTGGACTTTTTGGTTTTCCCTTCACCTTTACGTTGAGTCACAAATACTATAACAGAAACTGCATGGATGGTATGGATCATATAAACTTATAAGTTCATACAAACAGATTATGCAACTGGCCCGGATCATATACTTAATTACACTAACATATGGTCTGGACAGTTCCATTTAAGTAATGTTAAATAATGTTTTCTTTTGGGCCAGTGACATCATTTTATAGATGAGTGAACGAAGTGAACGAATCAGTATTCTACTCTAAATTACATCTACTGTAGACCAAAAGAAAGAAAGTGCATGAAACACACAGGGGTATATCATCTTGAATAATTATTATTTATATCTTTAAAATTGTAAATTGGTTTGTTAGATTGTTGGATGGAAATAAATAAATAAAACAGGTAGATTGACCCAAGGCGTATAAGATTGACCCCCCATTGAATCAGATCCGTGCGCGTAATTATGTTTCCCTCAGTCACCCGACAAAGTTGGCTTCCTTGCACTGTTTATAGTACAGAAAGCTGCTAATTTGCTACATTTACTTACTTTATCGCACCGTTTATACTTTGTCGCACAACAGTATTCCAGCCAAACAATACAAAACAGCGTGGTTTTATTATGCACGTAATCCAATAGATTGGCAACACTAAAAGATACTATCAATATGATCAGCTGATTGACAATTGATACTCGATACTACGATTTAACCTGTCATTTCGTGTTTACTGTTTATATTATATTTTCATTCAACGCTTGGTTTGAACATAACCTAAAGTGTAGTATTTGAAAGAATAATTATAAGTGGGCCTAACGTGTTTGAGAATAATGAACTCAGTGATTGTGAAAATATTTGTACACCAGAAGAAATATGTAGCAGAAACTGCAAATCATACCTGCTAACCTGTTTCCTGAACAATAAAAAAAGATGTATGAACGAGCATACGAACTGTGTTCTTCTTGGTGAGTAAGTGAGCAAGTTAAAAAATTACTTGTTTATTCTGTTCTGATTATTACTGTTTATAAGTGTACTCTTCAAAATAAGCAATACCTAAAGATACTACGCTACAATCAGCTGGTGCAGCTTTTCCAATTCCGTTCAATGCTTGGGTTCCTGACCTTAAAACCTGTTGTATAGTGTTTGAAAGATGATTTGTTATGCTTTATTAAAACAAGGCCCCTAAGCTCGATAACTTAAAAGTTCTTGAGACTTATGCAGGAATTTTTAAAGATTATTATTTATATGCTTTATAGTGACTGAAGGAAAAATATAATGTGTATCACGTGCGCAAATGGCCTTTGCTGCACTCGAAAAACATTCCGCACTCGCACGTGGCTCGTGCGTAAACATCTATCTCGTGTGCAGCAAAGTGCCACTTTGTTCACTAGTTACATAAATAACTATTTCAACATGTTTTTAAACAAACCATTTACGCCATATTATACATGTATGACTACTGTACACAAAAGAAAAATCTGGTTAAAACCATATATGGTAATGTTGGATTTGGATATTCGTTTATTTTAATATATTTATTTTGAAAAACGGATATTATAGTTTTGAACTATATATATTTTTTTTTAATTTCACAATCGGTGTAAAATGTCTTCAATTATATTTTAGTTGAAGCATTAAGTATTATGTAAGTTACTTAGTAAATTATTACTTTGGAAAAAATCATGTTCTTCTATTACGCAAACTTACTGAACTATTAAAAATAAACTGATAGGCTATATATCAATGGGCTATATATCAATAAGCTATATATCAATGGAAGACATATTCATAAGTCACATAGGTAATAATATACGTGCCAAGGAAACGTTCGACGTCAAATTTCTCATCTTTTGAAAATTTCTCAAATTTCTCAAACAAATTGGGGTTTCTGTTCCGAGTTCGTTAGGCTCTTCTACCCGACCGATTTTCATGGTTGAGGTCTCAAATTGAAGGTATGCACGCACATATTTCACATCAAGCATCGGCATTTATTTAACTACTATTATTACTCGACCAAAAACATAAATTTGATTTATTTTCGAATTCTTAATTCAATTTAAGACGTATTTCACCAGTTATAATTATCTATATATTTTGGTCTAAGAACTTTCAGTGAAATACCAGCTTTCATTTAAGCTATTAGTTATTCAAAACGGACGAGTTTCAAGCAAATGCAAGGTGAACAACCTACATAAAAATTATTTTTAAAACGGGTTTTCTATTATTAAAAATAAAAATAGTTCCAGTATTTTTTATGTTTTTTTTATATGTTTTAGGCTCAAAATAATCAGTAAATTACAGGCTTTCATTGTGCTATATTGATCGTTTGAATCAGTTAAGTTCAAGGTAGTACTAAATAAAAAATCATAAATTTGATTATTTCTCGGATATGGGTCCTCTTGTTATTAATTATTGTAGTATTAATATCAACTTAGAACAAATCGGTTAGTTGACAACGAACTTAATTTTTTCCTATCATTGAAGTCACAGGTATAAGAAGCAATCCCGACTTCTGAAATAAAAAAAGTTTTAGCAAAAATTGTCTAATAATGACTACCACCTTAAGAGTTAAATTCACTTTTGGTAGCCTACGATTTAAAAGGTTTAACAGAAACGATATCGCTTTGTTGTGTGTTTACTAAAGGCAACCACCGAAGTACAAGCGCGCTTTAAACATAAACATCTGAGGCCCACATTAATTTTAAATCGGAACAAAAATATTCAAAATAAATTCGTTGAAAGATGGATGAAACAGTGCCTAAACGAAAGATAACTCATTTTTAACATCGACTGGAAAAGGGGAAAGTTTTAATTTCAATTGAAACAATTGTAAAGGCAATCGGTAATCGTTTTGGACACATTCCACCAGTTGTTTTCTAGCCTACTGTCGTTACTAGTGGTACTAAGTACAGTAGTACGGGTGGGTATGACATGGGTATGGCTATCGTCACATCGTCTGGGTCAACAGAAGAATAACCTTCTCCTTCATGAAGAGGCAAATAATGGGATTTAATTGCTCCCTTTAGGGTTCACAAAAATCGACCCTTATTTAAGACTACAAAAACTTGTGTTACCACACTAATTTTGGTAATGATATCTATTGAAAAATATTAAAATAATTTGGTTAGATTTTTTCTCTCTTTTTAGTTGTACATATCAGCCAGGAAGACTCAAGCCCATTTTATTTTAAGCTTATTTTTGACGTCAAACAGTTTCATTTCAGCACTGCTATATTTTTAAACAGCAAAAAATCAGAAACAGGTAAATAAGAACAAGCGTGTCACGGTGGCAAAATGTATTCGTTTTATAATGTTTTTTCGTATTTTTTTGTGTTTTTTATAAAAAACAATAACTATAATACAAAATATTGGTACCGAGTCTGTACAGAATTTGGCGACTTTGACTTATAAAAACGATAACAGACAACAAAACTGCGCCTTCTGTAAAAACTCGGTGGACGATGTTGAGACCCGCGTTATCCTAGTTGAGATATGTACAAAAGCCGAGGGGAGGTTTAGTAGGAGGGGACGCCGTACGAACCGGACGGCCTGGAGGGGGCGCCGTAGCTGGAGGATGGGGCGTAGTTGTATCCGCCACCGCCGCCGCCGCCACCGCCGGACTGTTCGTACTGAGCTACTTGCAGGGCTTGCTTGACTCCTTCCAGGTCGACTCCGACTACTCTAGAGACGTATCCGCCGGACGAGGGGACTCCGTAAGAAGATGAAGGTACACCGTAGGACGAGCTGGGAGCGCCGTAGCTGGAGCTGGGGTATCCACCACCACCGCCGCCGCTGTAGCCGCCGCCGCCGCTGTAGCCGCCACCGCCGGAGTATGACGATGAGGAAGATGAAGCTTCGTCCTTCAGGATGATCTGCCTGACCTTCTCCAGCAACTCCTGGTCAACGTATTGACCCTCGTTGGTGGAGGGACCGACAGCTACTTGGACGTATCCGCCGCCGCCGCCCCCGCTGTATCCGCCACCACCGCTGTATCCACCACCACCGCTGTATCCGCCGCCGCCTCCGCTGTATCCGCCGCCGAAGCCGCCCCCAAAGCCTCCACTGGAGGGTCTGTTGTAGCTGTAGCCTCCACCCAGGGGTGCTTCAGCTGCCGCAAGGGCTAGCGTCGCTGCTAAACACTGTAACAACAGAAAATACCATTAGTATATGATGTAAGTTGACGAACATTTAAATTGAGCCAACTACAAATAGATTTTGTAGTTTGAAAAAATTAAAGACTACTGATTATTTTAAGTCAATTGGCGAAGCAAGGCTCACATGCTTAATCAACATGATCAAGGAATAAAGGAGGGCCCCATAAACAATGTAGTAATACAACTACAAATTGAGTCGACAAGTTTATAAAAATTTACAACCTTTGTCTGTGCTAGTCATCTTCAAGTAAACATCAAGCTAAAGCTTCTTAATGGATGAATTTTTTTTTTTTATGTTGCAGAGTCATAATTCGTCAGATGAGAACCGGTTGCTATTTATTCGTAAATCATTATATGTACAAGTTTCGGCCATTACATGACCAAGGAGTACCAATTCCCAAGAAGCCAATGCACAGATACCACGTACTCTTCCACAATTAAGTTAGATTATCCAAGCACATCAATAGCTCCGCGGTAGATAATCATCACAGATCACAGTGTCCGTGTACGGATGACCCGGGAACGACCCTCACTAGTTACCTGTTACACAATGCGGCACCGGTCACTTTCTAACCGGTTTTCGAAAGCGGTTACATCACTGCGGCATCTCACATAAATCCATTTACATGAAAAAGCCGGTCGTAAAACGATAGTTGTCGTCATTGTCCGGCGATTAACAAGCCTCGTTGTGCAACTCATCCGGAGAATGATCGTTTGTGATGAAACTAGAAACTAGCCACTCGGACTGCCCAAGCTACGTGGAATTTTGAAAATGTGATCATGTAACGACATGGACTACAGCCAACCCTAAGTATGTGTTGACAAAGATTTTATGTAACGTGTAGAAAAGTGTGGGTTGAAGATAAGTTCGTGATGGACTTACATTTTGATTTTCAATATATTGCGTTCACCTGTTGCTGAATGCTGTCCAAAAACCAACTGTAATAATTGATACTTATCTATATAAATAAAATTAGAGTTTTGTCTGTACATTGCTTAGAATAATGAACTTTTTGGTTATTTTTACATTTCATAGGTCAGAGAAACCGAATCAAACCTTATCTCAATTTCTGTCTGTCTGTCTGTCTGTCTGTCTGTCTGTCTATCTGTCATTCTCTTGGTAACGCTAAAATACGCACTTTATTACAACTACTCCTCAATAACTATAGCACTGTCCCGCCTGAAACTTATTTTCCAAATACTATACATATATGAGATGGTTTTAGACGTATTTCATCGAATATGAGACAGTTAGATATTTAACAGTAAACCCTTGAAAATCAAGTTTTTGTCGATTTTTGACGTGGAATTTCTGGAAGCCCATGTTAACCTTATGAGAAATGAAATTATTGAATCTTAACAGCTGTTTCAATTAAACAAGTTGGTTCTGTTCTGTGATGTTCAATAGCATTAAAGTTACAATGATTACCAACAGGGTGCAGCACTAGCACTATTATTTCTTTTACATTTATGACAACAGCTAATTTGCAACCTGGAGGCGAGTGAGCGTAGCGAACGAGCTAACCTGAAGGCAAGTGAGCGTAGCGAACGAGCTAACCTGAAGGAAAGTGAGCGCAGCGAACGAGCTCCAACATACAGGTGAGTGAGCGTAGCGAACGAACTTCTACCAGGACGTGATTGAGCCATGCAAACGAGATCAGATAGTAAAAATAAAAGTAAGCCTACCGTTATAGGATCGACCGGCAGACACAGAGGTAATTTAACCTTTTATTGATTGTCATACCGATCCGGAACAACAAAAAACAACATAAAATGAAGCTATGTATAATAGTTTGGCCAGCATATCTTAAAATATGCAAACCAACTGCTGTTCGTTATATAAGAAGGTTTCAACTGAATATTATAAGATCCCCGTGCGTAGAACGGGTACACAGCTAGTTGATTCATAATTCTGGTTTAAAAAACAAATACTTTGTGTTAATCTATAGTTTAAACCCCATATTTTATATCATCCGATTTTTTAAACAAAGAATAGTTAAAATTGAAATGCTAATCTCGTGATTATCGTATAAATATTTAATTGCATTTTTTCCTTTTGTTAGTAGTTCTGATAGAATATTATTTATACATTTTGAAGGGAACGTCATCACGTAAATTTTTGTCCAGCGACTTAAAAATCGTCTGTAACGTAGGCTATTAAATACTAAGCTTAGAATTCGTGTCGTTAAAATGTATAAAGCACCCTGTACTTGTTTGACCAATACTAAAACTATATTTTCTTACCCAATAATTTCAAAACACTGTCTGCATAATCCAAAATATGGAAGGAGTAAAACATACTACATGCATCGTTTTACCAAACTCGTACTGATTAGAAGTTGTACAAAATATTACACAATCGCAATCTTGAAGTAACCACAATTACAGAAAATTGGCAGGCAACACTCTCATAGGTAATAAAATATCTGTTTCACTTCCGGAAACCTGAGGGCACCGGATGTGAACCTTGGTAGAAAGTTGTCGGACACGACACGTGCATAAGCAAGCAGACGGTTTGTTTACAGGGAAATTGGCTTACAGCATAATTAGCTTACTGTTCCTTTCCTCGAAGCAAATTTACGTGCGAGTTTAGCCCGTTGGTTATCAGTGCTTTCTCATCTGATAACCATCGATTATAGATCAACAGGGAATTGTACGATTGTATATAACGTTGTAAAGGATGTAAGTTATGGATAAAATCTTTAATGTTTAACCAGTGACCGGTAATTACACAGTTTTGATTAAACAAAAAACCATAGCCTAGAAATTACAATTATGAAAATTTATTCTACATATAAAAAATTTGATTACAGTACCGATAATTGATATAAAGGGTGAATTTAGAGTAGGAAACTATTTACCAATGTTAAATGTTTATCTATTTGTCAAGGTAGTGTAAACGCGTCAAAATCTTGTATACTGCTTCACACACACACTTACGTTAGCTTTAATAAATACAATCCTACTCAAAATAAAACATTTACAAACTAGGCTACAAAATTTACGTCATAAAATCCACTCTACAGAAATGTATCGCTATCAAATCAATGAAACACCCAACAATACCCTAACAGCTGATTTGCTGCTGCCAACATATTGTGACTTGGGGAAAGCGTGTAGAGTTGTATAAGGCACATGATATTCGTACAATGATTGTGTAAAATGCAACACCTTGCCCGTCAAATGACAATGCCTTCTGTATACCAATACTTTCTATGACTACAATACATTCGTGTTGTGTAAAATGACACGGTTTAACGTGTCTTTAGCGTGTTGCGAAGCTTATCAATAGACTGGAGTGAGCGTGGAAACGATTGGTGTGACATGTGGTGTTAAACGATTAAGTACGTGTTGAAATATTATACTCTGTGTCAGTATTGTTAGATTTTTGAAATTTTATAAACGGGAGAATGCTGAGTAAATGTCTAGAAGCATTTTATTTTAAATATTGAAATAGCGGAATTTTAAAATTTTTGCGCTATTGTCATTTAAATTTTGTTGTTTTGTGTACTGTAGTGGATTAGCTGTTTTTCGTCTGTCAGAAAACATGGACTGAAATTGCATACAAGTGTTTAGGCAGTTATTATAAGAATACGAAGCAACTCTCAAAAACACATGCGTTTTAATCAGGTTAATGTTATTTAGGTAAATCAAATTTATCTAATTTAAAATTAGTCATTTCGTCTATACAGTATGAATATTTATGTAAACATTTCTGATGTTTTAAAATCAACATTTATTAAAAAATTCACGGGCTTCCAGTTTTAAGTAAATGTCATGTGGAAGTTGAATGAATGACAAAAGCGTAAATTTGTGACCATATTTTGTAACATCACAAACTTACAATGAAGCTAATGCAAAGCATACACTAAAAAATCGTTACTTAGGTTTACGTTATTGTCCTAATTGTTCAAAAGAAATCTTAAATTAACATGAATAACAATTTGTAAAAATGTGATTGGCTTCACAAAATACTGTACAAAATAACTCGTCTAATTTTAAAAATTTTACCCGCATTTATTTATTTTTATTAATTTCCCCTGTTAGCTACAAATTATTACTCTACATCCATATTTAATATTTGTCCACAAAATACTCCTATGGACAAATATTACGACATTTTACCGTACTAAAACTGATCGCGAATTCACTCCTTGGGTGAAACTTGCGTCAAAATTGCACAGTATCAAAGGTCGCTGCATTTATCCCATAATCACCGGTTATCAAGGGAAAGTCTAGGATTCGCAACCGACTCTCTCTTACGGTGATGCACATTCGTTATTGTTGTCAGCGATTGTTGATTTTTGATTGTTTATTGTTGACAGACGCCGTTTGTGTATTGGCTTGTTGAGCGTGTCGTCTCCGCTGGACTTGGAATACTGATGCGCTCGCGGGCCAGCAATCCGTGTAATTTGACTTTCCGCTTGAATACCAAGTGGTAAAATAACACTAAACGTTTTCTTTGACTAAAATGTACATTTAGTAAGATTGAAACTTTTGGGGACATTTAAATAAGGTTTTTGTACTAGCAACGGGGATTCGGATGAATAGCGGGTGTGGGATACAAATGCATGTGATTTTTCTAAAATAAAATTTTAGAGGAAGGATTGTGGGACAGTTTTTAATTGTGTTTTTGTATTACCATCTCGATTTAAATGCTCATTTCTTTTGAATTTCTTGATTTCTTTTGCATTTAGTAGTGTTTTACCATAGAATGTCAAATCAAAACTCATGTGACAAGGCAAAAAATAGTGGCTGTCTGCTGATCTAGAAATGTTAAAAAATTCATGCCCAAACCGGCAAACAGTTCATAAGGTTGATAAAGGGACTTAAAAAGGCGAAAATGCAAATCTTTTAACTATTAGTCAAACCTTCTGTATGTTTAAAAGATTAAAAATATCACTACAAAACGTTTTTATCCAGATATTCGAGTGGTACTATTGATATACCACAGAGAAATTAAAAGTATTAAATGTAGCCCTAGGCCATCGATACAATGTTGAGCACTTAAAATCATATTAAATTGCAGGTTTCCGATTCTACATTTTAAACATATAAAATCAAATGTCCCTTACAATAAAAATATCTGTATCAAAACATCTGTACCGGATCACGAAATTGATGGTGTATAAACCTATTCCATGAAATTCTACACGTATGTACCAAGTTTCGTGGCAATCGGTTCAGCGGTGTCTGAGTTTATCACTGCCAAATATATATATATATATATATATATATATATATATTTGTCATTTACACTGAAACTGCTTAAAAAATTGTAAACCGAATAAATTTGTTAGATATACAATTTACAAATAAAAATCACGCATTGCAGTTTCAACACGATTTTAGTAAAGAGGTAAAAGGAGTCAACGAAACTTGTTTCCACTATCTGCTTAATCCTTAATCAATTTAGTTAAGTTTGTATACACGTTTAATATAACAATGTTTCCAATAAAATCAAATGTGCCACTAAACGCCTTTCATTAATTTGTGAAAAGAAAACCATACAGATGCTAAATTTAATCCTACGATCGTACTAAAGACGTAACAGACTCGCGATCTTGACTTTGTATTACGTCAATTCTGATTTCAAAGAAACTTCAAAATTCATTATATAATACCTTTGACTACTCTTACAATATACATAAAAATAAGTCGGAAAACGGAATAAGTAAAATATACGACTTTTTTTGTAAATACAGGTTCCGTGTAAAATGTTTAAAGTCCTTAAAAACGTCACTGCTTGAAAGAAGACTTGTATAGAAACGTTAGTTGTAAATTAACCTAACAAATAAGTTCAATTTAGAAAATTCACAACGTTTAAGGATTTGTTATGATGTTAAAATGACCATATTTTGCAAACGTGTTATAAAATAAAATGAATGTTTAACTAGACAATTTAAAAAATGATGTATTCAAACACACGAAAAATTTAAGATGCAAAGCTTTCATTTAAACACTTACAAAACCCACCTAACCTAACCTCGAAATCTATCACGTCTAACACTAACACACATGCAAGTCAGGACTCTTTTATCCAACTGTACGACAAAAAAACGGACGTTCAAAACAGTGCACAAAAAACTTACACTTTTCTAAAAAAATACACAATTTCAAGTTTTTACATTTTAAGTCACGGTTTTAAATCGTACAAAGCACGTCCGGCACGTTATTTTGTCGTACATGGATATAAGAGCCCTTGTCGCGATATGTCGCACGTCCACACTCCGCAACACACACGATCACTACACGGTATCCAGGGACTCACCAGGGTAATGGTCTTCATGGTGGCCTCTGGTTGTCCACCAGTCTACACTGCTGAGGGACCGCCGGGTCCGTCTATATACCTCCGTCCCCTTCGCCGTCTCCCCCCTCCCCCTCCCCCGGCGCCGGAGATTCACTCACTTTTGTTTTCATAATGCTGATTAAAGTTCCCGCCGTATGTTTTGGGACTTCCTGCATCTTCACACGAGATGTTTGACAACATTGTTTTGGGAAGAATTCAATATCTTTTCCATGTTGGTGGAATTTGTTAAGGAATAGGATATATTTTGTGGAGAAGAGAGTCTAATTGATGGTAAAGAACGATTGGTTTGAAAAAGATGATTAAGACTTTACTAGTTTCTGGAAACGTGAGACTATATTGACTGGCAACCAGCAAGGGTATGACTTGATCAATTCAGTGTGACTCTAGAAACCCTAATTTTAATAAATGCTATTTTAACTAATGGTTCATATTTTTATCGAACCATCGGGACCATTGTTAACAATCTTGCCACTAAATTATACAGTTATACCATAAATTATAGGAGTAGACACTACTCTTTTGAGTTAGTTTTATGTCAATGGTTTTATATACTAGAAAATCCGAGAGGAATAAAGAAATCCTAAGTAACAAATCTAGAACCTCTGGAATGCGAGGGTTCAGTTATTGGAAAGAACATGTTTAAAAAATACGACTATAAAACCCACTTAAATTGTTTCTAGATTAGCTGATGGCTCATGTTTTCTTAACAATCCAAATTATTTGAAAATTTAGCAGCTAATTCTACAGCTATATACCGAGAAATCTGAGAAGAATAATGAAATCCCAATTAAAGAATGGAGAAATTGTGGCAATGCTAGAGTTCATTGATTGATAAGTGAATGTGTTTAAAACCCCTTAAAAAGTTAAATAAAGCTCCTTTAAAGAAGGAATCGAAAACTGTTGGTAGTGTTGGTAGGTAATACGATAGGTAATAATTTTATTTGGTAAGGGAAGGTTTTAAAAGATCAATGTAGCTCTAAAATCTCCTCATTAAAAATAACATTACATAAGTCCTAGATCAGCAAATAGGGGGGGGGGGGGGGGTTGTCGATAATAAGTCCCATTCCTTTGTCACTGAGTTCTATGACCATACAAAAGAAAATCTAAGAGAAATTAAGATATCTGAAAGAGAAAATCAAAAGCTTCTGGTATTGAGAGAGCTCATCAAAGAGACTGGTCTTGAAATTCACTCTAAGGCCCGTATAACACTCTAAAATATTTCATAATAGCTCTTTTATAAAAGACATTGTCCATATTTTATAAAAGACTATATAGCTGCTGCACCTGTGCTTTGCAACGGAGAGGACACTGAAGAGGAAATATTGATGTTTAAATCCCTTGTATAAAATAGTTACACACCCACCTTTGATTTCAGGAACAACATTTCGTTGGACCTCTTAGTTTGAAAAAATACACCGTGTCCCAAAAAAAAAACTGAACAATTTTATTTACTTATAAAAAGTTTATTAACAATCACACGATAAACTAATTACATTTTAACTGACACAAATATTCCTAAGTTTTGTTTGATATCATATGTGTTAATGATTTTCAACATGGTTGCCATTGTTGGTAAAAAGATAGTCAATACGGCTTTCCAATTCAGCCCACACTCTATGGTGCATTTCGTCAGTAATGTTAGTAAAGGCTGCATTTATTCCTTGCCTCAATTCTCGGACATCGGAAACTTCTGTCTTATAAACTTATAATTTTGACAAATTTAACTCACATGCTGCACAACGAACAGACTTTCGAGGGTCGTGAAGAAATAATTGTTGCACGTTTTCAATCAATTAATTTTGGATTTTCGGCCTACCTTTACCTTTTAAATGTTGTAAGCTTCCAGTTAACATAAATTTGTCATACCAGGCTCGAATGCTGTTCCGTGATGGAGGACGTCGACCATAGCGTCTTCTAAATGTTCTTTGAACTGCAATATCTTACTTACTTTGAATGTACCACTCAACGCAATGCGCTTTCACTCATGCGTTCATGGTGCCTGCTTAGTGACAGGGCAATGTTTTTAAATTTCAAGTTTCAAGCGACAACAATGAATCAGCTGATAGTTACAATTGATATTGAACAAAACTTCATGAGCTCAGTTATCATATGACCACCTTCAAAGTAGACTAGGTATTCCTGGACGTATTATATAACAATTTAAAATTGTTATTTTTTTTTTGGGACACGGTGTACTTTCTTTCAAGCTAGGCTTCCTAATAAAAATTATATGAGGTGCTGATGCATGTAAGAAAATACTGTAGCATACGATTTAATTTTTAAATGATACGCTTGTACTAAAAATTTTAAAAAGATGAAAAAACTTACATATTAAAAGTTGATGGGTAAAAAATAATTGCACAACATAGCTATTTGACAATTAAAAATTCAACATTAACCTTATGGGTTTCCAAGTAGCAATGTTTGTTTTACAGAATAACAAGGCAAAAGTAAACAAAATACTTAAAACATATGTTTATAACAAGTCATCCACAGTATACTAGCAAATTAAAAATACAGTACAAAGGGAAATTGTGTTGTAAGTATTGAGGAAAGATTACACAGAAGATTACTCGGAATAAAACAATAATTCTCATACAGTACTGATTATTTTACATAGCTCACTCCCACTAAAACTTAATCCCAAAGTACAATGAAAATTCTTAGCAAACTTTCTTTAGCAGTGGAATCCTTTCCTATCCTATCCTATACTCTAATACAAACAAAATCTGTTTGCCTGTCTGTCTGTCTGTATGTTAGTCTGCCTGTAATATATATCTCGAAATCCAGTGGAAGGATTTTTAAGTCTTAAAAACGTCATTGAATTCATAATCAATTAAAATTCTACTGAAACATAAATAATAAAATCCAAAATAAGTTGTAAAAACACGTGAGGTTTCTTGCTTTTACAATCGAAATGAACTATACCGAGCAAGGGCGTGGTCCCGCTGTACTATATATTTGAAATATTTATATTTGTATAACGCAAATGTAAATTCTTCTTCGTATTCTTATCCTGTAATGTAAATATTGAGGCAAATATCTTAGACTTTCTTCTACAGTGTATAAAATGTTTGGATATAACTAAAGGAACACTGATACAAATACACAGTATAGTTCACTAGTTCTGTAGGAGATGAATGATAAATCATGATTAAACTGACACCAAGAATCACTCACAAAAATAATACATAACAAGATTAACAGCACTAGTATTAATCGGAAGCAGTATGATCATAAAAATAATCAAATTAATTGCTGGCAAACCATGAAAGCTAACATATTTGAATTGTCATTTAAATAGACCTGTCAAAAACGTCTAAACCATGTGTTAATGTTGTTATAAGTATAAGGTTCGGGTCAGTGACGTCATTTGTATATGTTTTTATTCCATACCGTTGCTGTTCTAATATCCATGATAAATAGTCTTGCTGTGTGCATTTGGGTCAACAGCTGATTTTATGCATTTGTTTATGTGTAAATTACTGCTTCCATAATGATTTATATTGAAACTTTGAGACCCAAATTTTTTAACGTCCTATAGACGATAGCACTCACCGATATGGTCTTTATTTTCATGCAAAATTTGAAAATAATTGCTTCAGCCGTCTAGGGGGAGTTTGCGTATGACGAAATGCAAGAGTCGACGTATAAGAGCTTTGGTCGCTCCGCTAAACGAAGATAATTTCGTAGCTGAAAATAATTACACACCAGGAAAAAATTTCATATGAAACTTAAAATAATATGAATGTTATTTATAAATATTAGATTAATAAAACTACACATTTACAATATTTAAATTTAAAATATGTTAATTGAATAGACCTATATTGTCTACACCACAGAGTCAATCAGACTACATTAGGCCTATAGGCTACACCTATCAGACAAAGTAGTTTTTAATTTAGTTCATTCTTAAACTGTTTACTAATCGTAGTATATTGTTTACTAATTACCGGTAACTGTTGTTAAAAATCCAACTGAGGGGTTACAACCGGTTAAATTATATTCACATTCAAACCAGTTTTGAAACAAATTGCTCAGCAGAAATGAACAAATGTCAAATCGTCATTTAGAAATACGCTATCATAGAATGTACAAAGTCTAAAAAAAATAACCTTTCTATCATTCGGCCCGCTGCTAAGCTGTAAGCTTTTAAATGACACCTCAACCGCAAAAATCGGTTAAGTATTACGGGTGAAAAAGGGATGTTACAGTGAACTATTTATTGTATTGTAGATACATATATAGATAGTTAGATAAAATATAGATTATCAAAAGACATTTCAAACAAAGTATCCTGTCAATCACTTTGCACTGAACAAATTTCACAAATGAAATGCATTTTCCTGTGTCAGTATATTTAATTGGTTATCCTCTTTGATTAAAAGAAGGTCGCAGAATTTACAGTAGTTAAATCCAGTAATCATTGTGGTGAGGGGTCTTTAATATAAAATGAAATAGCTAAACAAGCATTAATGATAAAAATAAAATACAAATATTGAAAATTGATGACGAAATCACACCCAGCAATCATACAACCGGAAAAGCCATTTAATTCACTGTGATCAAGGTTGAAAGAGTACTTAGGATTTATGAATCGAGTTATACAAAAGTGCATAAATACTTTTGATAATTTCTTGTCGACCAAGGGAAATCATTATGATTTCACTATTTATTGATAAGCCCATCCCAATGATACCTTAAAATAACTTATAACTTATATTTTAATAACTTGCCTCATAAAACAAGTAGGCTAAATTTTTCTATCGCCCATTTTGTATTGTTGTAAGCCAACGCTCCCCTTTCATTGTTGTTTGATTGTCATTTACTTTTGAATAACATATTTGTTTATTTTATTGTAGTCAGTATGTTGCATACATTTAACAATAGATACACTTAAACACGAGAAGGATAGAAAAACATTGCATTGCCTCATAAACATTATTTGATGTGTTGTCGTTACGGTTTTTGGTGAAATTCAAAGGATTTATTC